CTCCGGTGCCCGGGGGGCGGCCCCTGCGGAGCCCCTCCAGGGCCGCCTCGCAGCGCCGCCTGTCTGCCCCGGCGCCTGATGCGGCCTTTTGCAGATGTTTGCAAAAAACCCAAAAACCCAACCAAATGAACAGATTTAAATCTTTGTGGAAAAAATATACTAGTAGTAACATTATGAAAGTCAATGTTGAGAAGGCAATTATAATTAGGAACTTTATTTTTATTGACTACACCAACATTTTCAGGAAAGAGTTTACATCCAGTTTTACAATTCGTTTTACAAGCGCGTTGTAATATACAGTATTTATACTTTGAACTTTTTTTTTAAATCAATGGGAAAAACTACTGCACATAACGATTGTGGTGTTTTTGTCTTTAGTTAGTAATGACTTAGGGACTTTAAGTTCTTCAGGTCAGTGTTATCTTGTTATGGCGATGCTTTACCAAGGGAAAATGGATAGCTTTTCCTCAACAGAGTGAAAGCAGATGATGGATCTTTAATTAGTAGCATAATTGCAGATTGCTGCCCACCGTCCTAATCATTTATTCAAGTGTATTCTTTCAAATTACTGCAGCAGAAAAACGGAAAGGAGGTGTGGAAAGAAAATTAGAAAATCTAATTTAAGCATCAGAATTAAAAAAAGCAAGGCCATCATCCCCAAGGAAAGTACCAGGTATTTGTATTACAGCTGTTAAGCACTTTCAAATGTGTGCATAAGCATGCAAACGAAGTTCTAAACACAGAACCGCTGTGGAACAGTGAGAGTGAACTGAAATGTGCTGCAGTCCCGCTGGTCGTCACACAAGCCTACGTGATTACAAATTACAGCCCCAGTGCCCTGGAGCCCAGGAGCCCATCAGGACAGCCCTACCAGGAGAGTGGCCGGTGTGTACCACCACCTGCGCTGCCAGGGAGACAGAGGGATAGGTGTGGGGGGATCGTGGTCTCTGTGATGCAGTGAGTAAAATACTTCTTAAGTCAATGAATACTTCCTGGGTCAATGAAACATTCAAAAAAGTTGGTGCTTTAATGGGAAAAGTGACATGCTGAGGATATAGTTCCGTAGACGGCTGTACTTCAAACAGCAACAATTAGAGAGATTTATTTCAACAAAAAAGCCACGCCCAATAGGAGGCATTTTGCTATTTCAGGCACAGCTCCAAGCAATTAAGCTCATTTAAAGTGCAAATCTGATATTTTCTTTCATATTTTGGTTTTTACTTGTTAAAATACTTAGTAGGTCCCCTAATATCTATATAAATACAATAAACAGTAGTCTATATTCCTGAAAATATTGCACAAATTAAAATGAGACTACCAAAGACAAATGTTAGAGGCTCTCAGTCTTTAGAAACATTCTAAATGACCACCTAAATGATGCAGTCCTTTGATGCATTAAAACCAGCTGCACCTACTCTGATAAACTCCTGACGCCAAGCTTTCTTTAAAGAATTTGATATGCATCTCATTAATAGCCAAATGTATCATTCTACATACTCTAGTGATTTTCTTTCACAAACGTGAAACTTAACCAATCCCCAGAAAACTTCCTCAGGACGTGGAATCCATACACTGCAGCCATCTTCACCGAATCACAGGAACTAAAACCACAGTAATCTGAGTTCTGTGGAGGGGTTTGGGCAGAGTTAATATACAGAAGCACTAAACAGAGGTTAAGCCAAATCAGGCAAGCTACAGTTTCACCTTGTTTCTGACTTAACATTTACTAATGAGCAACCTAACACAGTATTCTTGCAGTTTTTAAAGAAAACTGCAGGCAAATAATTTGTTGGTTTTGTAAAAGCATCCTCAATTTTTTTCTCTTAAATATATTATGCTTCATAATTATATCGATGAGCCTTCTGCCAAGATTAAGGCTCAACAACAGTACAGAGTTCGAAATGATGGGTTCATTCATTTCTGCAAATTAATAGGAGAAAAAAGAGCTGGAAAATATTAGAATAAACAAATTGCAGAAGTCAGTATTTTATGTAATAGACAAAGACTTTTCCCTCAGACTAGAGGGCTAAAACTAATGTGAAGCTAAAACTTCCCTTAAAGATAAAGGCCTATGAAATAATGTCACACAGGAGTCCATGTGTGTGCTTCGTGCTGCTAGGCTGGCTCCAGATCCTGGCAACCCTGTGAATGAGTGACGTCCACCACATCCTGTCCTCACAGCCTGGCCAGCCCTGTAGACTCAGCCTAAGGCCTCTACTACGGAGTCAGTCCATCTCATATTTGGTCTTCCTCTTTTCCTGCTGCCTTCTAATCTCCCAGCATTATTGTCTGTCCCAAAGAACGCTGTCCTCTCAAGATGTGTCTATATCAACTTCTAAATCAACCAAAGACTTCCTAATTCATCAGTATGTTCTATTTTAGGGAAATACAAGGTGTCCCCCCAGAATGTATATAAACTTTGAATAATTATAAAGTCAGTGTTTATTAACGTACAGCTCATTTTCAAAATTTAAAAGAATCTACAGGAATAATTTTTTTTTTCAATGCCCGTTTTCAAACTGATGACCTTTCTGGTCATCCAACTGCTGATAACATGAAGCAATGGAATTGCAAACATCAGGAATCATTTCGTTTGGTATCTGTGTGCCCTCAATTCGTCAACTGCTGCAGTTGTGTACTGTAAACTTTATCTTTTATGTGTCCCCCCAAAAAAGTCTAGTGGCACTTTAGGATAAATTTCCTTTGTTCAAAGCTTAGTCTGGCTTCCCCCATTATTTCAAATCAGTTAAAACTGAGGAGGAGTGAAAATTAAGTGAGTTATCAGCTGTGAAAGTGTATGTACATTTTTGGGGACACCATACCCTGAATAGTGTGATAACGTTGTCCCATTTACAATATATGAGATCAGTTATCTTTCTCCTTCCAATGAAAGACCACGTGTGCCCACTTACAGCTGCAGCCATTACTGCTTGTCTCTACCAACAAACAAGAGCTTTGCTGACATGTCTGGTCACTTTACACTGATGGTATCTGCACAGTGTGAAGACTGCCTGGCCCTGTGTTTCTCCTGCAGAACTGCTGCTGAACCACGCTCACCTGTTAGCAAGTCCAACAGCGGTTTGTAACTGGTGAAAAGCAAACTCGCGTGAATGGTAAGGGAAGCCCACCTCAGAGTGGTAGTGATCACCTCTTATGAAATTTACAGAACAGCACTTGCTATTCTCTAAAAAGGGGTATTTCACTAATGTACATTTTTAAAAGGAATCACTAGAAATTTGAGGAGCTAACTTTTTGACCAGAACCCCTTTTTATAAATTTTTTAGTCAACTGATCACAACAAAAGTTTACATTGTAAAAGCCCATCTCTCCAAAAGACATTAATTCTAATTAAAACAACAACGGGTGAACCACCTACAGATGACATGATCTGGGAGGACAAGAGGACACATTTACTGAAGCACCTGAAGAGCGGTCCCAGCATGATCAGGTTAGCACAGCTGGTCCACAGCTATCTCCCAAGCACATTAAATAAACATATTGCCACTGAAATATCTTTTAGTGCCTTTTAATAAAACCATTTCCCCTCTCTAATTCTACTTTTCTTCCCAAATTTACTTTTCAAGAAACTGAAATTCAAACATACACCAACACAAAAGGGAAACCTGAAAAACTCAGCAAAACAAAAGTATTGTGTATTCTAGCTTTCTCAAGATTGTCTTACATTTATAATTATTGCCAAAATATTTTAACTTGTTTTGCTACAGAAAATAGTCTTAAATCCCTATGCATGGGATATTTATATCCCATCAAAGTTTTGTGCAATCATTTCAAGTCCCAGTATACCAGTCATCAGATATTAGCAGAAAGTCAATAAATATACATATTACAATAAAGACTTCATTTAAAATATATGCTGTGAGACTTCCAAACAGCTATCACGAATCTGTAAGCCTATAGGGTTCAAAACTGAATTACCAGCAAAAGTCTAGCACCAGCATCTTATAAATGAATACACCTTTAGATACATGTTTCAAGATGTATCCCAAGCTTTCCAAAATGTATCCATCATCCAAAACAAACACAACGGTGTGTGTGTATAAAACAAGATGTTAAAGTAATATATAATTGGTTTATACATAATATGAAACATCTCCGCCTGGAGTATTTGATACATACACATTGAGAATAGCTTGCTGACCCTAACAAGGAAAATAAAACTTACACAGACTTCCCACTAAAGGCTTGATCTCCTTTATTCATCATACAGCTTTTGCATAGACCTTTTATTAAACATACAAATCACTGGCCAGAACTCTGCTTACAGACTAGCGCCTTCCATTATCACCAATTCTTTAGTTAGAGTAATAACCATATTCCCAAGATGGACAAGTGAAAAGGGTGAGGCTCTGAGAACTGCATTTAATACAGACCTTAAAAGGATTAAATACACAAAGCACATTCTTGCCTGCTACGTGAAATATTATGAATTTTCTGATGTGCAGAGTAATGGATAAGATCACCAGAGCCTTCTGTAGGCCTCTGATATGCGTAAGCAAACTTTTGTGTTTACCTGAGACAGATATACTCAAATGCTATGTACTTCAACCAGGATATGAAATGGAAGAGCTCAAACTAGTAGAAGCTTCCACATTTTAATGTTAAAGATTTGCAAGCTTTCAATGGAACCTCGATCACAGCAGCAAACTGCATGTAAAGCTATTACAAAACAGACTGCTTTTTAGAAAAACAAACTGGCAGGCGATGGCTATGCACTTAATGTATCTTTGGTTTAGGAAGACGAGAGTATCGATGAGAGGACAGACAATCCCCAGAATTCAAATTGCCATTTGGATTCTGCATGATTTCTTTTCTTTTTGTTAATGGCCTTGGGATGCTTGTCTTGGCCTGGAAGTTCTGGGGTTCTAGTCGGGGGTTGCTTATTTGTTTTTGTTTGAAAGATCCAGAAGGAGGGCGGAGCTTAGATGCTCTTGGATTTAGATTATTTGCAAGATTTGTTTGACTAGATGTTAGCTGAATTTTTGCTGAATTACATGGTGTGATTATTGGTGAGTTCTTACAAGTGGGAGTCCTACTTGGAGATGATTCAGAAACTGAAGGAGGTACCAAAGAATTCAAGATGGGTGTCTTAAAAAGCTGCAATGACTTGGGCTGAGAGGTGCAGTCCTCTGGTGAAGGCTGGTTTCTTCCAGCTTTCTCAGCCTGGCCTACTGCACTTGACTGGGTAAGTGATTGAGACGAAGTGGGTACAGCCTGCATGTCACTAACTGTATTATTTGCCAAATGATAAGACTCTTGAGCATCCATGGTCACGTTCAAGTCTGCTGCCAAAGGTGTACTCTTAGCCACATCCTTAGTGAGCTGTGGGCTTGAGGAAAAAGGCTGGTCTTCCAGACCACAGTTGCTTTCTTGCTGCAAGTCATGTGTAAAGCTTTCATCCAGGTATGCAGCACCCTGATGTGTGCCCTGGATTGTGCATTCACTGTGGTCCTCGGTATGTTGCGATTTTATCAGTTTTCCCTGGGCGTGGTCTGTGGGTCTGGGAAGGCTGCTGGAAGGCTGTAGTACTTGAGGCTATTAAAATTAAAAATAACATTAGCAACAGCTCATTTTAGAAATGCCACCCAGAATTAATATAAGTTCCAATTTGGCTGTGTTAGTACTTACTATGTTTTAATATGAGATGTGAGGTTCTTTTAAATTAAAAAATAAAATTGCAACATTCAGCTGAATTCATGAGACACACTACAAGAATCATAATGCAAACAAAGAGTGATATAGGCAGTAAACACTGAACAAGATCCAAAGTCACACAGAAGAAAAGAAAAGTTTAAAGTGCTGATTTATTGTTGAAAAACGAAGTTCCTGTTTCAACTGATTCATTAAGTATTTAAAACTTTATATGTAAGAGCTTGAAAGAAGGATTTTCATGGCACTTTGGTTTAATCTCCATAAAGCATTCAGACAGTAACTGTGATCTTCACAATATTACCAATTTTTAAGATTTTGTTCAAAAGAAAAGCTGTATACCACTTTATCACACTTGACTACAGGGGGTATATATTTAAAAGTGTCAAGGTGCTGTACCTCTATGTAGAATTAAAATTACCAGCAAATAAGGTTTAGAATTAAGATGATATTCTCAGTTGATATGCACTTGTAATTAAATAAAAATCGGTCAATACACTTAGCTAATGCTAACCTACCTTTAATATTCTTGTTGAAAAGTTTCAGAATAAAATGTTTTCACACCTTATTTGTTCTGTCTCACTGCCATATGAGGGATCAACTAAGGTTCTGCTGTGGCTGAGATGTAGAAAACAGATTTACCTTGCCCAAGAGTGAACACCCACTTAATAGAATTAAATGATCAGCCTTTAGAATAATGGCTGAGATTAAAACAAATCTGAAATTGCCTGTAGGCTCAGAAGCCTACAATACTAAGGTTCTTAAGAGGCCAATGTGCCTTGCATGCACCTTTCTGGAGCTCAATGTGTGAATCAAGAAACATGCCACCTCTGTTACTTTTGTGCATTCATAAAGAAATATGAATCTTAAAGTTTTCTTTCAATTGCCCAAATAGTAGTTTACATGGGGCAGAGCCTACTGGTCATGTCCTGATACAGGGGTGGTTGCTATAAATGTACAAACACACACACACATACACACTCTCTCTCTCTCACTTTCTATTAAATAGTATGGGCTGAAAATATCAAAAAGTTTGACACAGGGCTTTGAAACATGAAATTAGAGGACCATTTTTTACTAATAAAATAACTTTTTAAAACTATGCTAATCCATAAACAAGTCTACAAGTATCTCTAACTTCTCGAACAGAAAGGATGAATCTATTTATGCTGCATTATTTGTTTTGCCACTTGTTTCACCTCCTTGAGCAGCACTGAGCAGCGGCGTCCAGGGTCAGCAATCGGGTTAGATTATGGCAGGGTTACCAGGGACTGAGAATGAAGTTCACTGACTCATGGAAGGATAGTTGGCCATGATGTTATAAGGCTGACTTGCTATTTGAAAAATAGTAAAATCAAGAAAAAGCCTACTCAAAATTAATCCATATAGAATATGTTATATTAAACTCTTATTTTAGAATGTTTAAGATAAATAAGCCATCTCAGTTTTTACTTCAAGTGAAATATCCTGGACTTTAAAGTCCATGGGCATTTTCACAAGAAATCACCATAGAGATGAGTAAACTGTCCTTCAAGAACGAAGGTCCTAAGAAAAGAAGAATGAAGCTAAAATCACCATGTAACTAATTCAAAACACTCTCCTTGGGGTTCCCTCGAAAAAATGGCCATGCCAAAGTGATCATACACTCTAGAAACATCAGAAAAACACAAAGCAGGACAATATTAGGAAACTAAAATCTACCAGAGAAAACAAAAAGCAATTGAATGGGTATTGGTTTTCCCTTTTCACCCTTAAAAACTAGTTTCAAGTTAAAAATCTTAAAGCAACTAAGACCTTTGAAAATAACAGTGACAATTTAAAAAATGACTTCGTTGTAATATGTCTTCTGCCAGTAAGAAAAAGCTATTGGCTCAAAGCATAAAAAGGAATGATTTTTCAAATTAAGAGAGAGTAATAAACTGATTAAGAAAACCAAATCTCCAGAAAAGGGGCATTGTGAAATGTAGATAAATTACCCATTTTCACTGTTCTGATCACTTATATTACCCCACTGACTACTATTTATCAGAGAACTAAATGGAAATACAGCAGATAAAAGATGTGCTGCTTATGTTAAATGCAATGAAGCTCCACATCAAATATAAAAGAACTGGAAAAAATATGTTTTTGGTTTTTCTTGTCTTTATTTTTTTAATTTTTCAATTATAGTTGACATACAATTTATTTTCATTTTTTATTTTATTTTTGTTAAAAATATTACAGATGTCCCTTTTTCTCTCCAGTGACCCATTCCACCCTGTCCCACCCCCCAAAATAGGGTTTTAAAAATAAAATTTTGAGTCTTTTAACTGAGGAGTTAGATTGAACAGTTATATTTAAAAAGTATAAACTATTGCTTGATTTCATTAAATAAGTCAGTGGTTCCTGAATAATGACTAAATAATGTTGATTTTTTTATTTTTACTAAAAGTGGTATGATACAATTTCCCTATCCTAAAATAAATGAATGTATTGCTTTATTGTTTAATTGAAACTAGTTTGAAAAATAATTCTACTACTGTGAAGAAAAAAGTCTCTTACATTTTGACGACTGCCAGGTTGGAGGGTGTTGGGGGACGGGTGGGAAGGGGCAGGGACTAAGCAGCACAAACTGGTAGGTAGAGAACAGCGATGGGGATGTACAGTAGGGCACAGGCAACACAGGCAGTAACAGCTACTAACTACGCATGGTGTCAGACTCATCAGGGCGATCACTTTAAGTTATACAGATATCTAATCACTGAGTTGTACACCTGAACTTAATACAATATCGTGTGTCAACAGTAATTTAAAAAAAAAATAAAAATTGATGAATGAAAGAGGCTCTTGAAGAAGATCAAGATATGACTTTAGCAAGGACCAAGGAAGTGACTTGCTCCGGACATGTGGAGGATTGTGCAGAGCTGGTTACCCACCAAGGCCTGGACTGTCATTAATTACCTACTGGCAAGGTGAACAAGAGCTGCCTCTTAACATCTAGCAAGCAAAGATGAGATGTGTTCTGATACCTTGTTGCTTGCAGTACAATTTCCCCAAATTCTAAACATTCAACTATATTAATATAAAGGCAAAATGTTAACAATTCATCTTGCCCACTTTCACTACTGCTCCTATGCTCTCAGACAACTTTAGAATAAATTCTAAATATAAAAAGAAAGATCCCATATTCTCATGGATAATAAGACCAACAGGAAGAAATATTAAAGACCGTTCATTCATTTTTTAAAATGTCAAGGATGACAAATTTCAGAGGGAAGGCAAGGGTGGGGGATAGTGGAGGGGAGAGATTAATCAAAGAACTTAGATGCATATATTCATAACCTATGGACACAGACAATAGCAT